CCATGGTACCCGATTGACGGAATTTAAAGCATTTCAAGAAACGCTCCACTGACAGGAAAACGTCTTTCCATTTCCGAAGATCTGTATCTAACAGAACATGTGCACAAGCTTTAGCTTTGATCTTCAGCAATGATAATCTTAATAATAAACCCTTTGGTGCTAGGAGCTGGGATATTTTGCAGTGCAGTAATGGTGTGCACGTGCCCTTGCTAACGGCGCCTGAAAGCCCCGACTCCATGGGATTATCATTTGAAGTATCTCTGTGTTCGTATCTTGTTAGCTCCCACGAAGACTGTGATATCACAGAGTATTACTGATTGCGTTGTGTGAGTGAGGAGGTGAGTCTGAAAGGAGATGTTCATACGCAGATGCCTTAGCCTCTTGATGTGGAAAGTTGAGTATCCTGGCGTGAAGCCCACTGCTGGCAGTGCATATGCTGGGACAGTCAAGGGGCAAAATGGGCATTTTAGCAAGGCAGCTAAAGACGCAGACTAATTTAGACAATTTTTCATGTTTCGTGTTTTATCTTTAGTAATGGGTGGATAATCAGTCAGAAATATATCATGATGTATATGCTAACTACATAGGATCTCATTCTGTCTCCTTGTAACACTAAACATGTAGAAATTATCCCTCTGTAGAGAGAGCGAGCACAGTAAATGCATTGCAGGTCTGTAGAAGTGTCTGTACTGACACAGTGAGTGAGTGACTGAAATAACCGATTACTTAGGAGATGGGCATTAATTAGTTTTCTGCAAAGGCCTCATACTTACAGACTAAAACTATGGTGATTCAAAATCTGTGTTATATGCCTGTGGTGTTTTTTTTTTTCTTTTTTTTTTTTTTCTTTTTTTTTTCCAGCTTTTAACAGCAATAAATTTTTTGACACAGGGCACCTATAGCTAATGACCAACTGGAGTTGTGCCTCTGGCCAACCCTTCCTCGTGCTGAGAAGAAAGAAACCCTGTGGCTAGGTTCATCACAGTGTAGCTAGTTAGAGTGCAGTTCGCAGTAAATATCTGTGGGCGAATTATCTGAAAACTTTTTAAGGCTTCAATCAGTGTGTATTGTGTTATCTGCCTTCCAAAATATCATAGATCAAGTTCATGCTATGGAGAGAGTCAGCAGTCATTTAATGCTGCCCGGGGCTGGGGAATTCCCTCTTAGCAGTGTCAGAGATGGAAGAAAGAGAAATTAACAAGCTGTGCTGGGAGAAACTCTCAAAGCTCTTCTTTGCCTGTTTGTAGTTGTAGTTGGGTTTGGACAGTGCGTGGTGGTGGCTGGTTACCTTGATGAGCCTTTTGAGCACAGTACATTTCAGACTTTGACTCCAGCTTGTACTGACTTCCACGGCAGACAGTATGCCCTCTTGTACTGCAGCCATCTCGGAGGAAATAGGTCATTTCTGTTTGGGTTTTGGCAGTTTTGCACACGGCTTTGCTTTCCACACTAATCCATCTTCCAGTACATTCCTGTTGCTTACAGAACATTTATTCCAGTATTGTTTTACATTTTTTCCATCTTTACTTGCGGCTTCTTAAAGCTGACTGTTCTTGCAGGGGCCATGTGCTTCTCCTAGAGTACAAAAGTAAGGTCTTTCCTTACTAACTGCAGGGTCTATATATTACACCTCAATGTACACACTTTGCTGCTACTGTTTGTACTGTCTACAGTAGAATTTCCTTATCTTGCTCCTGGTAGTGCATTACAGGCAAGCATGAAATGTAAAGTATTTATTTAAATAAAAACCTCTAAATTGGTAATTGAATTACCTCCCTGTAGCTTTAGAGTTTGTGACATTTCTTGACCTTGCTAGTTCTTTCATTAGATCCATGCAAGATCTAGTCATATGGTTAAGGATATTAAGCAGACACGACTATGAACCCAAGAAACCGTATTACTGTTGGTCATACTTAAACTGTTTATTTCCTTAAGTATATGACCCACAAGGATGTGAAATAACTACAAGAAACTGTTTTTGTACACTGTACATCCTTAGTATTTTTACACGTATATGATAGGGATGCACATTATTTTCCTTCGTACAGACAGCTTAAATAAAACACTATGTCAATCTGCTACTTCTGTGTTTTTTAATGCTAATTTGTTCTGGAGGTTTGTAAATATATTATATATATGTTCAAGCTTGCCACAAAGGACGTATTTTTTTATATCTGCACATTATTATTAAATATCTTAGAGGATAAAGTTCCTAATCTGTTCTGTGTCAGAGAAAGAAAATCTGAAACGAGAAGGCTATATTGCAGATTACAAAAGATTTCTCAAGTTTTGGTTTAAATATTTACTTCATATTTTAAAGTAATTTTATATAGGTTAGATGTTTCAATCCTGAAATGCACAAAGAATTTACTTAATTTCTTCTTACAAGAAAATGTACATCGTTATTTTTTTATCACTGTATATATAATGATCTGTGCATGTTTAGTTCAAAGTTTTATTTGCTGTGAAGTCCTAGTGATAACTGTAACTTGATGTGATGTATTTCAGATACTGGGTGATCAGTTTCAGCTTGTAAATTAAGTTACAGTATTGTCAAAAAAAAACAAAAAACAAAACACAAACAAACAACAAAAAGAGGTTTTAATGGCTAAGCAAGATGTATTTGTGCTGTGGCCCAAGGCTATTTCCATACAGGTGGTCTGTGTTAACTCTGCGAGGTGTATGTAACTTCTAAAAGTAAATTTGGGTTGTACTTTTCAAGTACTGATTATGCAGGGCTACGTTCCTATCAGAACAGCCAACATTTAAGCGTGTTGTCATCGAATGAAAGCCGTAGCCTCAAGTTGCGTAGCTTGGCAGCATGCTGGAGGAAGCAAGGGGAAGGTGTGATTTGCAGGGCACCTCGGGGTGGGACTCGTTGACGCCCGCCAACTGGCCCAAGCCTAATTGCAGCAGCCAGCCAGGAGGGCTGAGTGTCCCTGGAGCAGTCGGTCATCTGGGTTTTAGCTCAGTTCTCAGGCATGAACCCTTCCCTGGAACGTAAGTAAGTGTGTGAGCCGGGTCTTGTTTTCCCCTTGAAGTAGGCCGGAAGGAGCAGTAGAAAGGGACAAACAGACAGACAGTAGTTGCAATATTTGCAGATCAGTGACAGGACTCAGCTGTGGCCATGGAAGGAGCCTCTGCTCATTCTGCATGGAGGCACAGGGGTGATGCCTCAGGGGGGCGATGCTCTAGCTGTGGGCATGGAAGCTCCTGGATGCGATCGCCTGATCTGAACTTTGTAAACTTTGTAAAAGTAAGCAGTTTGTGGGTAAGGACAGGGCGGGGTGGGGGGAACGGGAGCGGGGTAGACCTGGCACTGTCTGTGCACAGTGAGTAAGTGATTGCTATGAGTAGAGTAGCTGCTGCAGAGAAATTGATCCTTGTAATCACAGTGGTGGCTGCAGCAGGTGAGGTAGGTCCAGAAAGGTTGAGGGTCCAGCTGTGCCCTGGGCCATGGCACAGCAGCTCCAGGATCTCAGTGAAGCCTAAGTGCTGGGACTGGGTGCCTGAGGTCCTTCACGCATGTGGCTGATAGGCACTGCTCCTATTTAAACACAGATTTACGGTGTGGGGAAAAGTAATAAGTTTGCAGATTTATAGACATATATTCTTACCTATGTAACCATCTATAAAGTAGTGAGAAATAAAATAAAATTGTCCACCTGACTAGCGTGGAGAACCCGTAGTTGAGCTAGAAAGGAATTTTCATCAGCAGCCTTTCCCTTCCCAAAAGACCCGAGGCGATTTAAGCATGTTTATTGTCATAGCGGTGAAGCAGTTTAGGGAGGAGTTCAGATGTGTTTGGCAGTTTCATATGGCAGGAAATTGAAATGGGAAGAAAAAACACTTTGATGTTAAGGCTGTACCACTAGTAATTCTTAAAATACAAGGAATGAAAGATTGTGTCCCACAGCAAATGGTAACTTATTGCATGTGTTGTTACTCCTACTTCTGTTACATTTTATGTGTTCATGCTGGCTGAAGTAGCCTTATTGACTGGGAACTGTTCTTTGCGCTCCCTTCCCCCCCCCCCCCCCCCCCCCTTTACCAGTGCAATTCAGCAACTACACTGAATGTAGAAACCTTTTCTTACCTGGTTAGTTTATTATGCACTAGTTCAGCAAAAGGTTCAGATGAATTCTTTCTGAAACAGCCTGGTACTTGGAAAGTAACCTTTACAAATATAAAGTTAACCGGAAAGAAGCCCTCCAAATGTAGCCTCCAAATGTTTTGAGTTCAATAATTTGAAGCAGAGTTCAGCTGATACCCATCCCCAAGATAGTGAAGTATCTTCCAGGGGGAAAGTCTAGAATCACTTCAGTGTTGAGAGCCAGGCACCTCACATACGTATTAGCCTTTGCTAACAAAGGGTCCCTTTGTCTCAAAGGTGTTAGCCAGTGACTGTTTTGATGAGAAACCTACCCTGTGCAAATTACTCCACATTACAGGGAATATTTCTCAATTGTTCTTAAGCCCTCCTGATGGATTAAGAGTTGTTAGGACCCTGACTTTTGTATAAAAGTGGAAAGTAGCTTGTACAACTGAAGTTCCCAGGTAGATTCTGGTCATTCCTATTCAAAGTTCCCTGGTAGATTCTGGTCATGAGTTATGAACTTCAGCACACTGTGATTTCTATGAGATTTAAGCACCCTTCCTTCCTTCCCAAACACACATTTTCCCTTGAATGCAAAAAAGGACACAACCAGGAAAAGTAATGAATCAAATTCAGTTTATTGGTATTGCCATCTGTAAATAAGACATCTATGTTAAATTACAAAAATAGATAAAAACATTTTATAAAAAATTGTACAAATTATGAATTAAGCTGATGCTTCATAACAGCTGTTAAAACTGGATTGCAAACCTAGCCTTTTCTTAGAAAAGTCTCAGCTGTCTTCCTAGAAAGTTTGGTAGGTGAGTAATGTTTCAAAATATTTATGATTCTGTAGTTAAAAACAAATATAAACCAGTTGAAATTAGCCAGTGTGTCTGTTTTCTGCGAACGCTTCTCTGTGTGAGCTTCAAACAAGCCTGAGTTTCAGACGGGTGCAAAGGAGAACTGAAAGACAGAAGAAGGAGATGGGAGTGTAAGTAAGTAGTCTGTATGGAGCTGCTTGCATCTCTCATTTGTGTCACTTCAGCCCGTGGGTGAGTTCTTAGAAAAGAAATACGTAAATGGTTAAGAATGTGGCAATGCTATGTAAACAAGCTCTGTTTCAAAGCCTGTGCTTCCTGTGGTCCTCACCGCTTTCTAAGATCAGCAATCTTACAGGTAGCAAGAACAAGAGCTATCTGATTTCTGAAAAACAAGATCTCCATGAGCTTTAGCCATCGCTCATGTTTAGCAGTAAATAACCAAGCTCTTGTTTTGGGGCACGTCTAAGATCCTGCCCCTTCTCCCTTCCAGGAAGAAGGAGACAGGTTTGTGCCAGAGACTGTTTACTGTGAATTGTACAGACTGTATATGGGGTGGGCAGCTGTAGCAAAACAGGAAGCTGCCTGTGTGCTGTTAGGAAACCTCTGGTGGGAAGGCTAATTTGCAGTTTATAAGCTCTTGCATAGCTATTGTTTGTGCCTCCTCAGTAGCACTTCACGACTTAATTAAGGGCGAGACATCAAACTCTAGTGGAGCTGGGGTAGCTACCTAGAATTAAGCAACTGGAGTTCCGAAATTTGAATTTAAGAGATGTAAATGACCTCAAATAAAAATAAACTTTCAATTTGGGCTGGTTTTGCATTAGAGGACTTAGAGTTTTTCTTTTTTTTTTTTTTTCTTTTTTTTTTTTGAGTTGGTAAGGTACTGAGGACTGAGTTAAGAAAGGATTTATAATGTTGCAGTTCATTAAAGAATTAATTAAAAACAATAACATGGTACTTTTTTTTTTCCCCTGAAACACATGCACCACATCAGTGCTATGGTTGTATCCACAACTAGTGCACTGAAAAATGAATTACATCCCTGGAAAGAGTTAGGGGTCAGACTCAGCATCAGGGGCTAGTTAGTGACAGCCAGAGGAAGCCCAGGCTGTGCTTCATTAAAGGGCCAGCATTAGAATACAAACAGAAGATTAAAAAGACAAAGAGCACTCCACCCAGCTCCTGAAGAAGTCTCCTGGCCACTTGTGGCTCGGAAAGGCTGCCCTTTGAGGTGCAGCTGAATGCCTGGTGTGTTAGTGCACTGCTCTCTCCCCTAGCTACTGGTATGAGCATCCTTGGTACCACTGCTTGTTCTTTTAGGTACCACTTCTCAGACAGCTGTTTTATGCCACCAAGCCTCAAAACATTTCTACCTAGAAGTTTCATCCTGTCATCTATGCCTCTAACTAAGGAGCTGCTGTTGCCTTTCCTTACCACCTGAAGCCACAGAAAGGTTTTCATTAGCCCTGCTCAGATGCGTGTAAATGGGTTAGGTACCAAGACAGCCACCTCTAGCACTGCAGGCTGCCTGCGTTTCTTCCATCCGCACAGTTACTCCAAGTTAATGCTTTGCAAGATGCTGAACCCCTGCATGGTTGACGAAGTCAGCATTTCTCCATCTGACTACAGCCACGCTTCATCTGCTTTAAAAACAAAAGTGCAAATACTGGCAAAGTCTCAGCGTGCCCAATGGCACAGCAGGCTGGATGCTAAAGCAGTTGTTTGGGATGTGCCGCTCTCCTCCTCCCAGCTGAGCGAGCAGAGTGCTGCAGCACAAAGTGCTCAAAGTTCTCCCCACGCTCCCTCCCCCCAGGGGCAGCTCTTTTAGCTGTGTGGCTGGCTAGTCTTACAGATTTCAATTTTGTAGGTAGCAGAGCCATAGAAACCCCAGTGTTTTAACTGATGTTAATGCTAGTTGCAGGGGCGGGGAGAGGAGCCACTAGATGCCTGTTTGATCAGCATGGTGCTCTCAGAGGGGCCAGGCCGCACTGCTGCTGCCACTGCCAGACACCTCCCGGGCCATCCCGGACTCCTGCGCCCAGCTGCAGCATCACAAAACCCAAAGCTCCACCTACTGTGGTCTAACGCTCATCACCACTTGATTAAATGCCACCTAAGCAGTAGTCATGACCTTCCTTTCTCCTGCTCCAAAAAAAACCAACACTGTGGCTGTAGAATGTCACTGGCTGTTATAAAAAAAATCCAACAGATGCACATTTTTGTACATTAAGACCACAATAAAAAATAAATAAAAAAAGCCCACATAAGGATCAGCCTGAATCAATTCTGACATCAGAAGTGGAAGGGCTACTCATTTTCTGGACATACAGAAGGCTAGCTTTAATGTTTAAATTGAAAAAAAAAAAAAAAAAAAAAAAAAAAAAGAAGGCAAAACGGGCACTTGGGACTTGGGAGCCCATCAAACACTACATTTGTTGCTGGGGCCCCACTGGAAATTCATGCAGACCTAGGAGAACAAAGACAATCTCAGTCCAGGACCGGCTGTAATTCTGACAGTAGCTCACACGAAGGCACGAGAGGCGTGACGAGGGGAAGATACTTAAGGGTGAGTATATTTTATGTTCTGTTTGGGAAAGGAGTGGTTTGTTCACAGAGCAATGGGCTCACTGAAAAACGGGACATCTGAAATGACGGACGAGCCAGTTTCAGCGGCATGACAATCTGAAGAACACGGGGAAGGGCAGACTTGCACAGGGAGATGTCCAGGGGAGAGGACAGACCAGCGGCGTGGGATGGCAGATGTGGCTGGGGGTAATCCCTGAGGTCCCAATCCTGTCAGCTGGCCTGCACGCTGGCGGGCTCAGCTGGCCAGAGTCTGCAAGGAGATTAAAACTGGGACAAACAGCTCTTTCTGTGAAACTGAGGGACACCAAGGCAGATCCTGCAAGTGAAGAGCATTCCAGCCTTCAGAAACATAAACACACTGGGTGGACAGTGCTGAGGTTTCTAGTCATCTCAACTTAAATATTTTTTTCCTCTATTACACACATTTGTATTTAGTAACTATATAGAATGGGAGTTACGTATCTCTTGCTCTCCTGATTTGCAGTAACTTGCCGGGTAAGAGAGACTTTCAAAGGTAGAAACACAAAACCTGGATCCTTCAAAAGCTTTCAAAATCAGAAGTAGAAATCCCATAATTAAACTTTTGACTACCTTTTGGTGGATCTGCCTGTGTTAAGCTGTATATCGTTATTAAATATTACTGCCATCTATTAAATATTAATGCGAAGGCTTCATCTACAGCACATGCTGTAAGGTCAGGCCAGATTATCATACTGATCCTTTTTAGCTCTCTGAAAATTAAAATTTCGGTGTGAGCATCTTCATCATGTACCCATTACCGCCTTCAGAGGGAAGGAATTTCACTCCTCTGCTTCTCAGGGGCTATGCCTAGAGCCTACTTTACATTTTAGAATGGAAGATACACAAGATAAGTTTGACAAGGAAATGAACTGGAAAAACAATGACAGTGACATAAATCTCTGCTAGTGGTATGGGTAATGGGAGCCTTCTGCTATCCTCTGTCTGTGGGACAAATATTTTCCAAGTGAAGATGCTTAGCCTAGCCCAAAGGTCGTGGGCAGGTGATTGTTCTGAGCTTCCTCCCGTACCATGAGATTTAACATCATTATTTCAAAAGCCTGTAATTCATTTCCAAGGATGAGAAAGGTGTTTTTGAATCCTATGGTTCTTGCCTTGGTTACTCCTTCAACGAGGATGCAAAAAGCTTTTTAACTCATGTTGCCTGTAAGGAATTCAGCATGTAGCAGGATCAAGTATTTCTTTTAAAATGGCTTTTTTTTTTTTCTTCATTCATTATGAAACCAAGAATTTTCCTTACAGTATCACATGAGTTTTCCATGAAAAACAGATTCTCAACACACCAAAATGTAGCAGGATTTAAAGACCTCTTTCTCTCTTTCCGTTTTTTCCCCCAGACATGGTAAATATGAGCACTGGAAATCCTATGAAGGCTAAAGGTTTGGCAGTAGTTTTTTGTTTGTTTTGTTTTTGTTTTCCCTGTAAGTCAGCTAGATTAAAATAATGAAACAATTTTTAAAATCTGGGACTTCAATTGCATTTTTTTTTAAAGGTAATGCTTACAATGCTATAGGAACAGCTATAAACTGTAGCAGTGCTGTCATTCCAACAGCATCACTCCAAATGCAATTATTTATATAATGTTTCTTACAACATGACACTGAGTTTTTATGATTCATTATAGAACAAGCTGAAGCCTTTCTAAAGAAATAGCATTTTGCTTTCTGAGAAGGAAAATACTATTGCAAGTGACAAAGCTAACCAACTCCAAATCAAACGAGAACCCACAGTGATTATCTAGCCCAAAATGTATCTAAGGTAAAATTTGAATTGTAAAAGTTCCCACCTTGCCAAGAGTTGTATGTCCTCCTTGCTCTCCAATTTAAATTATATTTTATTTTATTTTTTTAAATTCTGTCAGGTAAACCTGTTTCTTTTCTGGAGAGCTTGCCCTACATTTTTAACAGTATAAAAAGAAAAAAACACAACACCACACAACCCTCCCCCCCCAACAATTTCTAGCCCCAAAACATTTCAAACACTTTCTTCTCCCTTTGTCTTGAAGTGTTTGCCAGATTCAACCCACATCTGCAAATAGTTTTAGTCCTCCTTTCCTCTCCCTCCCTTTCCTCTATATATAGTGTATAGAAAAAATACCTACTTATGCTCATTTCTCTTTATCCATCCAGGTTTTTACTTGATTCCATCTGTGTCCTGTTTGAGATCTGCATCCCATTTCTTTTCCTGAAATATGCAATTGCAGAGTTACTAGTGGTGTGTGTTCCAAGATATAACACCAAATTTCAGTCAGTGTATTTTACGTCATTTTTAAAGCATTAGGTATGAGTGGTTTCTCCCCAAAACCCCAAATTAACTGCAAAGGATAGCTGTTGAATAACACAGTAAAACATGGCATAAGTCACTTTCACCTCTGATCAATACTGATTATGCAACTGATATTTCTAACATATATTTCTATAATAGCTACATACATCTTTCTGTAGTTAAAATCTCCAGTTTACAGCGAAATGTCCTTTAGTTTTCTTCAAACAATCGTCTGATATTCCAGACAGCTTTTTTGGGCTGAATTCCAATTCCCAGAGAATCACTGTTGCTTTCAATAGCAGCAAACAGATTTTTAGGACTCGTAATAATTAAAAAAAAATAAATATACTTCTCTTCTGAATATTCACACGTTAAAAAGTATCCTCTGGAACACAATTAACTTATAATGAACAGAAAAAAGGAAGATTTTGCTAGTCAAGTCTTGGTTGTGTATCTGAATGATTTTTTTTTCCTCATCTGTACAATTTAGTACTTTCGCCCAACCTCATAAAAACATGCTCACTTCCAGATAGAACACATTACTAATGACAGAATCTCTGTGGACTACGTATGAAGTCTCTTCATATTACCTAGAGTGCTTCCCTTAGAGTAGCAACTTTCATTTTCTTTTCTGAATGGCAAATGTTCTTCAACCATCTTATAGAGAGAACACTATGGTTGCCCTAAAATTTGTCAGTAATTACTACATGCTGATAACCTGACGCTATCTTGGGTTACCAGGTTTGTCTACTGACAGCAAGTCCTGTAAAACCAAACACACTGACATGATTAAAAGCATAACAAAATATGGATTTTATTTGCCTAGGTTAAACATTTATTAAATCCTACAGCTAAAAAGTCTATGAAAAAGAGTATGATGTAAATATTTGAAAGTTGTAAGACATCTATTTTCTGTTTACTGCTAAGTGTGCTACTGGACAACATTTTCTCCAGTGAACTTGTTACCCTTTTAACAGAACTCCAGTTATTAGTTAGAAAACATCATGATATGGTTGAATTAGGCAATTCAATTAGTCACAAAACAAGGGTTTGATTATTTAATAGTTTTACTGAAAACTTCATTCTATACTTACTATTTCTCTTTCTTCCTCTTTTTTCTGAAACAAATGGATGAAAGGGAAAGAATGAAACAAACCGTGCAGTCCTCTCCCTTAGTTCTAAAGCAACGGCTGAAGAACAGTGGCCAAAAACCCAAGCAACAACAGCCCATGGGAACCTGCAGCATCCTAGAGACCACTGGAAGCAACAGTTGGTCCTGCCAAAGGTGCACTACAGTGAGTAGTGCTCAGGTGGATTGATTTCACATTCTCCACCTCACATTTAGGTAAGTGGTCACAAAGCAGCAGGAAAGAAAATAACATTTAAAAATAAGGGGAAAAAATCACAGTGGTAGGGGGACTTAAGCTGACTAACGTCAGCAAAATGCTCCAAGAAATTACAAGCATCAAGCTACTATTTAAATGTTAATGCTGTGGAAGAACAGATTTCCCTTTTCTCTGGAAAAGGAACACAAAATCTTGCAATAAGAAAGCTAGGAACTGTAACCAAGAATAACTACTGCTGTTCTATTGTCTCTTCATTTAGTTTAAGTGGGACTCTGATCCAGCAACCAGCCTATCTCCAGTTGAATGGATTTTTTTTTTTTTTAAAGGCAATGCCTTACTTAGAACAACAACAATAAAACCCCAGAGCTGAAAAGAGACTGCTGGTGGATTTCTTCGCTAAAGCTGCAGAATATTCCCTTCAGACTTTCTTTTCTTTTGGCACAGTACCTGGATTCGCAGAAACTGCACCTCTTCTGTTAGCAGCTGCTTCTCTTTGAAGAGCTGATTCTGTTTGTTGAGTAGCTCCACTAACTGCTGGGCAGTGGCCTGGCAGTGCTTGTCAAGCTGGTGCAACCTGGAAAAAAATAGATAAAAAGAGTGCAGTGTGTCTGAAGTTGGAGTTCTCTGCAGAAGCTTTGATCTTTGCACTGGCAGGTGCAAGCTCCCAGATGACACAGCTCAGCCTGGTGTTGGGCTGAGACTGAAGTATTATTACTCCACAAAAGGGCACTCAGTACATTTGATCTTGACACTTTAAATGAGCACTTTTAAATGTCTGCACTTCTAACTTAGAAGCCCTGTCGTGACGTGACAACAAGTCAGTTTTGCTGTTCAATAACATCAGTAAAGACCACAGGACTCCATCCTGACATCTGCAGCTGAGCAAGCCATGCCTTTCTCTTCTTTCCTACAGAAAGGGTGCTGTGAGTTCAGGGCTGTTCTTGGGATATGGCAATAAACCTGTCGGCAGACGTACACTCCCTACAGCTCCTTCAGAAACCAGTTTCCTGATTTTAGGCAGTTATTTCAATGACATTAGCCCAGATTATAAATCCAAGTATCCCAATCCCCTGACAAACTGGACCTGAAGTGACGGAAAGTTTAGTTTTCATTCCACTGCTCTTTACACCCCGGTCAATGCCCAAAACTTATTACAGAGCACAACATCATTTAAAGTGAGCTTAGTGGTAATTAAGCATGTCGGCGTTAATCTCTAACAGAGATTCCTCTGGAAGGATTTAAGAGCCCACCACTCCAAAGACTTCTCATCACGGGCTGCAAAACAGGGAGAACAAGCCAGTGGGTGTCAGCAGGGGTACGCAAAGGCTTTGCTTACACTTGAGAAACAAGTGTAACAACATCCTTGTAGAAAGGGCAACTGCACCTTTACTTTAATCACAAAACCTGGAATGTCCCCAGTGACTGGTTAGCCCTCTGAATCCTGCCATGAAAAAAATCTTAAAAGTTTGCTTGGATCTGTAACAAGGAAAGTAAACAGAAATAAGCTGAAAATTGTGTTTTTGCATTAAGCGCATTTCATTCATTCTTTAAGTGGAAACATCTTTAACTACAAGTCCCTGCAGATATCTTAGAAGCTTCTGTTCTTTAAATATTGGTGCTCTAGAGAAAAGTCTGTATGTCTAAACACTATATATTTAGGGAGCATGAACCAACCTGGGTTTTGCTATGGTTAGTTCTGGATCTAAATTCTGCACTTGTTTTGTAAACTATTTCTTGCTCACCATTTTGAAAAACAGCTTCAACTGAACAAGGTGCTTAGGCTTGTATCTCTCATACAGTCTGTGTTTTTAATAGAATTAGTTATATGCTCACAATAAGGCATGTGATTTTCTGAATCCTTCTACTTTCAACTCCATGTGGTAGTTTTGAGTTGTACAGCTGTCATAACTCAGCTAAGCTAATCACTCTGAATATTCACATTCTTAATCAGGATTGTTCAAATAACTGCATTAGTAAACACCCCTGAAATTCTTGATAAAAATCTAGTAAAACTTAGCTGAAACAAATTTGCCAAAATTTATGTGAAAAACGGTATTTAGTGGTCTATCTCTATCAGACACCTCCTTTGAAGTTGAACTGCAACAATAATGCAGCAAACACTGTGAATGGATATATTTCATCCTGTCCTGTTACTCTGCTAATGGATAGCTGCAAAAAGGGATTTGAGGAGCTGCAGGACCATCTCCTGGGGATCAGAACAAAAGTAACTGCAGCTAGCTGCAAACAGTGACAGCTGGTTGTAAACATCCAATGAAGTAAACAAAAAGATCACTTTGATAGCATAGAATATTCTACTAAATACACACTTACATGCTGTGTGTCTAATTTCACAGTCCCTGTATGTTCTAAACTATAACATGTTGATACATGAGCTGTTTATGCTTGATTTCTTTACAAAGGGTGACTTCAGAGGTGTGGAACTCAACAAAACAAACAAAAACCACCACCAACAACAACAAAAAAAGAGAAACAAAATTCCTTCACAAACCAAAAAAATGCACGTGTACTTTTTGTGTTCTGTTTTTAAGGACACTAGCTCCTCCAAGAGCATCAGATTGCTCCCACTGAGTGCACAGACAGTGGTACTGTTTGCTGGAGGCAATGTAGCCTGGAGGCAATGTAGCGGAGTTTCAGACTGGAGAGCTGAGTTCTGCTTACTATTTTGCCATTGATTTCCTTTAGTTTGAGGATTTGTGAGCTTACTGGACTCCTTTATTTGTAATAAAGTCATCTTCCAGTCTTTTATTTATACCATACTCACTACATTATAACAGTACTGGTAGGGAGATGTAACTGGAACGCGCTGTCTTCAGACAGACAAGGAAAAAACTCCAGTGCCTCCCTCCATAGGTGAAGCCTTGAGACTACGAAAACCTCTTCACACAAGGTCATCTCAGACAGCATGAAAGCCCCACTCAACAACCACCAACTGTTGTCTGGATTCAAGCCTTTAAATTTCTGCTGACTTCTATATTTAATTAGTAATCTTTCCATTATACCAGTGCTTCAGTTTGTTTTAAGGGTCTTTGAGACACCATCTTACACAAAATTGTCACTCCTAGCAGCTAAAGACATGGTTAAGTGTGTAAGCCCCTCAAGTAGCAACACGGTTGTGCTGCCCATTGCTTAGAGGGCCTATTCTGGATGCAAGAGCAACCACCAATGAAGAAGCCCATGAGGAAGGGCCCTACCAGGCATCTCCTCCTGCAAGAAGAAGGCTCCAGCTGAAGAGCCACCACTTCAGTGCAAGGAACTTCCTCCAGTTCTGGCATGCAAACTGAAGTAAGTTCCAGCTCATGTAAATTCTACATCAAAACAACACTTTCTACTAGATACTCACAGGCAGCACATGCAAATTTCAAAACATCGCTGGATATGAGCCTTACTGCTTTCTATTGTAAGACTATCTACAGGATCCTATCAGATCCTGTTAAAGTTTATTTACAATAGTTCATCCAAATTAAGAACTCTTTTAATTACGGCAATACTACTCAACTACACTTTTTCTGTTTTGTAACTTTATCACCCACCATGTTACATTAGACTGTGCCCTTGAACAAAGATGGAAAATGACACAGCCACCGAACTAGGCTTTACTAGTAGACCACAACTTGTATCATCTGTATCCAGCTCCAGTGCTCGAGTACAGGGTTAATAATGTTCCTTTCTACAGTTCTGGGTCACAACAGATAATGAGGGAGTACATCTAGTCAGCACACATCTCAGTCTATGAATTCCCAAATTCTGTCTACCAGTCTGCTCTCCCAAAACTGCTGCCAAGCTGGCCCTTGGTCTGCACGCTGGGACTACCAGCCTGCTCCGGTGCATTTAGCTCCCGAGGACAGGCTCTGGGCCCTCTCACAGTGTCTGCTATTACGTGTGACATGTGCAGCACAGCCACACATTCCCATATGCATTGTATCTGGCCTGCCTGCTGATCTCGTAAATGATTCAAGATGAGAAATGAACAGCTCCACCCACATTCACTGTACTTCCCATATGTTACAACTGCACATCGATGCCTGCCATCATTTTTACAACTGGGTGACAGAACCTTCTGCACATTTTGCTAATACGAGTGAGTGAGGTTGCACAGTCACCATGTTCACTTTGGCAACACCACCGACCAGGCAAACGTGCGCTGCGTCCTGAGCATCTGCGTGACCACCACATACTTCCCCTCCGTTCCAAATGAGTTCATTTTCCACCAAAGTGGCAAGTGCTCTCCAGTTGGGATGGCAGCGACTGCTGCTCCGTGGCCTAGGAGTGCTGAAGGGTAGGGCCTGACTCCACCCTCTGACATGTTACTTCAAAGCACAAGTTTCAGACATGTAACTCTAAGCGTTTTATATTTGTACTACTTGCAGGATAACCTTACACCAAGGGGTAGCTCATATTTAATAGTATTAGTACTGTTAAAATAATTTTCCATGCAAACTTATTCGGTCTAAACCAGAATTCCTGTTTCGATATGGCAGCAGGTAAGAGACAGCTTTGTGAGGCAAGTGCATCCATAGAAGAACAAAACTGAGGCATCGCAAGCTGCAACGAGCACTTCATGATGAGCATTTCATTCTGATTCTCAGTATTTGAATGCAGCTTTATATTATCAGGGCTCCAAGCTACCTTGTTCATTTTGTGCAGCTCATGCTAAAACCTGCAGTAGAGCACATCTCTCACTCAGCACAGAAATTAAATTTGGATCCGAGATTAGGCTAGTACCTAGTTGTTCTGAAACAAAATGGAAAGGGAGAGATATGTTTTGCTACATTTGGACAGGTAGGAGTAGACATCCCTTGCAAGACGCTACAGAATCTGTGTGAAACATGGAGCACAGAGCAGACCTTTGGTACCAAGGTGAATTATACCCAGCAGAATTAACTTCCACAGCGGTCAACTCCACAAAGCTGAACTAGCGCTTTGTGTCCTACAGACAAAAATAAAAGCTTCTTTCTTTTCTATAAAGACCCATCGCTGAAGCAGGGGCACCCGGCAGGCTCCAGCAGTGAGTGCGCAGCAAGCCCCTGCCCTGGGGAAGTCACATTAATCCGCAGGCAGCCGCGAGCGCTGAAGGGAAAAGCTGGTACAACAAAAGCCAATACAACCTGTCGGCCCTCCTCGGGCTTTTAAAGTTGATTTGAAATAAATTAATATGCAAGGATCTGTGGGTAGCGTCCATCCATCCAGCAGCGGGGATCAGTCCTTGACAAAGCAGAGGCATTAAAAGGTTATTTACTCTTTCAGTACAGTCAGGGTACTAACGTAAAACGCTTTCCCTCTACTCTGCAGAGCTGAATTTGCTGAAACGGCGTGATTGGATTGCAGCAACCTACAGCCGCTAAATCACCAAATCCAATAACCACGCTGCATTTACTGGCACACATCTTAATTAGGTTTTAATACAAGTAATCTGATAACTACCGCTGGCCAGCCCGCGCAGAGCTGTCAGAGCTGAAAGGGCTGTTATTGAGCGGTGCAGCCGCCCCCCGCTGACCCCCGCCGAAGCCCCCCATCTGCCGGTTGCCAAGGAAATGGAGGGCGGCCCACCGGGCC